TGACCTAGGCGAAGGCTAGGAAGACAACTGTGACATTTGGTTAATGACATTTGTGGGAAGAAACTTGTGATAACTCTTCCCCTTCTAAGTGAGGGACGTCCGCGGACCTTATGGCGGCATTTTCAATAACGGCTTTGACGGATTTGGCTAAGGACGCTTTCTTTCTGTTCGCTGTTGCTCGCTGAAATGCATATGCGAGCATTCCTATAATGAGTAGGGCTCCCAAAGCGGCGAAACTTACCAGGTTATTGCGTTTGACGCTTTGCTGCAGATGTTTAATATGCTGAAGGTTTTGCTGATTTACGTGGTGAAGGTAAGGTGCGCTCAGAATTTCTATGTGCTGTGTCAAGTTGATATCTGGGGACCATGGCGCTTCAGGTTCCAAAGGCGCCGTGGAATTTTCGTTATAAAATAGGGTGCCGTTAACTCTTACCATTTTCTCGAAGGCCACCAGGTAAGTTCCATTTACTGTAATTGGAGCCTCGTCATTTTCTTCTATGACCGCCGTTTGGTCGTTAATAACAATCACACCGTCACCTATCGATGTAATAGGAGCGAGATTGTTGTATGTTGTACCACAGTTGGCCGTGTTGCGTGTCATTAGCTGTAGAGCGCATGATGTTGCTAATGATGTTAGGCAGAATGTTGGGGTTGTGTTACTACAATTTCTTACCGCTACAGTTTGGTTGTCGCATGTAGCTAAGATGGGTTCTTGCAAATGTAGAATTTGGTGGTCGTGGGCTACTGGAAAAATTCGTATTTTCTTGCATCTAAATCTAGGTATAGGATATTTCATTAAAAAGTATATTACGTTGTTGTATTGGACTATTTTAATCTTAACTAAAGGTATGATATCGGCTATCGTGAGGTTTGTGAAGTGCTTTATTTTGGTTATTGAGTTTATCTCCGCATTATCCAGAAGAATAGGATTGAGCGTTCCAATTTTTGCGAAAGTAATGGAGGTGAGCAAGTTATTTAATTCTGTTATCATTGCCCTATTTCTGGCCATAAGAATGTCGTAGAGATAACCTGTGTCTATTTCTCTTTGTTTTGATTGTTTTAGGATCTTATTCACTGTGATAGTAAGGCTATTAATTTCTTTTTGTACTTCCGTATTAATAATGAACTGCCTGTCCTGTGAGTCTATTAATTGTTCCTCTGTGCTACTCAGTCTGTCGAAATCGTCGTGGTCAGGAGTGCCAGTAATATATTTTAATAATGTCCCGAGGGCGTTTAAACTTCTCGTCTGTCTATGGTGAGTATTTATCAATTGTAGAAGTCTGTCTATTTGCCTATGTCTGCGTGCAATATTTTCTTCATGTGCGATTGGGGGAAATGATCTGTCGCGTTAAACGTTTCGTCTCGTAGTAGTTCGTAGAGAGTTAAGTTGGTGATATGCTTGATGTGTCCGAAATTTTCCCAGATTATAATGTCTCCGTCTACCACTGGGATGTACCTTGCGTTAGTGTAGTCCATTATCCGTCCCGTTGACAACGATGCCGATAACAATGTGAAAAATAGCAGGGAAACCCTAAAAATAAAAATGTAAATGTCTATTAGCAACGACATAAGTTACTTAGCTTGTGCGAAGGTTGTCCTTATGGACCCTCCTTCCTCTTATAAGCACCGTAGTGCCGAGATCTTTTTCGACCTCTTCTTCAGTGTAGAGAGGCGTCAATTTATTTCCTAGTCTTTTATTGTTTTTAACTAGTACTTTCTCTCCCACCGCAAACTCCCTGTCTTGTCGATTCCTATTATGTATTTCAAGCTCCTTATCCTGCGCTTCCTCCAGGCGAGAGGTTACCAGTTCATCCTCTTTGCCTGACTGAAAAATTGTAATAGGTTTCATTTTCGTTACTGTATGGATGGACCTATTGTATTTGATTGTGGCCAAAAGAATAATTTCTTCAATGTCATCCATATTTGTATCAAGTTTGAGGCATCGCGATATTTCTATCAATGTGCTATGGAATCGCTCCACCTGGCCATTTGATGTACTGTGAAGGGGTGGGGCATTCGCGATGTCAATATTAAAACGATTCTTGAGCATGGATTTGATACTATTAGAATTCAGTGACTTTTCATTGTCACAGTAAATAGTTTTTGTACCTGAAAACATGTTGATTAGCTGAAGAAGCTGTGGCTTTACGTCTACTATTGTCCTGGACTTTAAGGACTGTACTATAGCAAACTTTGAAAACTTGTCAATGCAAGTTAAGAAATACTTGGAGCCCGTTGAAAATATGTCGATGTGGAGGATCTCTCCACAATATGTAGGAATGGGCGTCTGAGCAATAAGTTGCTTTTTAGGATGGCGATCATACTTCGCCCGAGAGCATGTGTGGCAGTTAGAGGCAAATTGTTTGGCTTTTCTCTCCATTTTGGGGAAAAAATAGTCTTCCAATATTTGCTTAACGTCCTCCTGGGGCGCTCGATGTGCCCGATTATGTTCGGCAGCGATAATTTCTTGCTGCTCGTTCGGGTCTGTTATGTCGATGACAAATTTTTCCGTATGTCTAAATTTGACTGTTGGAAAAAGTTCAACCAGTTTGTCCTGAAATTGTGCTAGTGTATGTAAGTCGCAGTATATTGCGTTAACAACATCCACTTTTACCGCTTCTTGTAGGAGGCTTATTAAATCCTCTTTACTCTTGAACGAGATTAGATGTCTAGTTTTTTTTCCAAAAATTATAAACGTTCTTTTTCCTTGTTCTATGCCTTCTTCTACTAGTATCTGGTTACGAAAGCAGTTCACTGGTTTATGAGTTCTCTCAATCGTGTTGGTTGACGAAACTTCGCTATGAATTGTTTCAGTACTCATGTTATCCAGGGCGTTCATATGTTGCCTAGACAACGCATCTGCGACTACATTCTCTTTACCAGGTTTGTAAATTAGTTTCGCGTTACATTCATCTATGAAGGCTTTCCATCTTTTAATTTTTGAATTTGGGTTTCTGTCTGAAACCGCAAAAGTGAGCGGTTGGTGATCTGTATGAACCTTAAGATCTGTTACGCCGTACAGGTAGTTTCTAAGGGTTTTAAGTGCCCAAACGATGGCCAACAGCTCTCTTTCGTTTGTGGCAAAATGTTCCTCTCTACTGGTCAAAGTACGGGATATCATTGTTATAGGTTTCCCTTCTTGTGACAGGACAGCACCTATTGCGTGCGACGATGCATCCGTGGTTAAATCAAACGATTTATTAAAATCAGGGTAGGTTAGTGTCACCTCCTCTGATGCTAGTATTTCCTTTAAGGTAGTGAAGGCTTTTTTCTGTTCATCAGTCAAATCAATTTCGATTTTTTTCGACTGTGAAGCAGTAACTCGGCCATATTCACCCCTCATTATATTTGAAAGTGGCTTCGCTATTTTAGCGAAATCCCTAATGAAACAGCGGTAGTACCCCGCTAAACCCAAAAATGATCTTAGCCCCCTCAGAGTAGTGGGCTCCTGAAAATTCCTGATGGCATCCACTTTATCCGGGCACGTCTTTTGATTGGCCGGATTCTGATTTCCGCCAGGTTTTTCTTGAAATCTGTTCGCGAAATTCATTGCGAAAGCGTAACGCTCATTGTTGGCATCTACCTCTTGTGCCAAAGCCAGGGCGGATGGGAGGTCAGATGGCCTAGATGCGAACAAGATATCACATAGTGGTTTCCTTAAACCTGATATAAATACTCTGAGTGCATCGGCCCTATATTTCTCATTTATAGTGTCTGCAACACCACTCTCTTAAGACATAATTGTCTTATTTGCCAACAAAGTTAGCTTCTTTTCTACCTCATCGTAGAATTCTAGGCATGTCATTGATCCCTGTCTCAGGGTGGACAATTCCAAAGTCAAAGACAAAGTCAAGTCTGGAGATTATAGCGCTAAAGTTAAGCACTGTGTTAAAAGAAGAAAGTACTGCGTCGGCAGCACCTCTCACTTTGTTTCTAATAATAGTAACGGCTTGGTAGTGGCGTTCACTGCCATCGTACCTCCTAAATAATTCGTAGGCATTGTGTGCGGCTTCCCGCCAGGATACGTACGTGCCTTGGTGGCCGAAAAATTCCGGAAGGGACTTTATCGCGTCTAGCGTAATGTCGCAGGTAGTTAGGGGGTTGATTGTTACCCTACTATATTTTTCTACCTTAGGTTTGTTTATTGTTACTTGATTTTATGTTCCTAATTTTAAAGCACAGTTTGCCTCAAAAAGTAAATTAGTGCAAATCAAATAGCTCTTTAAACATAAAATGAAGTATATATTTTTTATTTACAAAATTGTATGCGTGCTTATTTAAAGAAAAGGCTCTGTACTTTACTTCTAAGAACCAGCTCAAAACTAACCAAATTATTTCTAGTTCGGAGGTAACTCTTTTTGAACTATCTAGGAACTGTTGTTATATGAACTGTCTCAGAGCCATCTAAGCCAGAGTCAGCTCAGAACAAGTTCAAAAGTTCTGCAGAGGGCGACAATTGTCACTTCGTAGGACATCGCCATGTTAAAAAAGACAGTTGAAAGCATTGAGTTGAGAACCAGTACCGACCCTTTTCAGGCTAGCTCAGCTCAAGTTCTGAACCAGTTTGATTTGCTGCAGGGTTCAAACTCAACATTTGAAAACACATTTACATGTATGGCTGTAGCTGAGTGTGCAAAGACGCTCAGAACAATTGGTTGCTTTCAAGAGGACCGGGCTCAATTACCATCAGACGGTACATAAAATTAGTTTTTCCTTCTTAATTACGAAAAAGCATCTGTGCACTTCACAACGACATATTTTAGTATAACGTACATTTTCAAATTTAAAACGAGTTGGGTTGGTGCTCTTTCATATGCGTATTTTTTTAAATTTAGCACGTTTTTTTACTTCTAAAATTTTTGCCCTCAGTGTAAAATATAAGTAAAACATTTTCTATTTACCGATAAACTTTGACCTCCCTTGAAACAAAATTCGGAACCCAACTGTAAAGACGCCGATAGGCATACATACATATATATTTTTTGACATCCCCTCTACTAGAATCCGTTTTCAGAACTCTGCCATTTTTGTTTTGGTGTTTAAAGTGTTATACAAGCAAAAAACGACTGATGTGAATAAACACTTATTTAACGTATCGATAGTAGTCTCACATTTTGTTTTTAAATCCAGTCCACTAGACAATGGTGCAGCAGAAGAACGCATTACTTTCATTTTAGCCCATTGATGAGTGTGTTTAATACGCATGTGATTCCTTACGGAATTCGGGTGGGCAAACCGACGACCGCATTCAAGAACGGGACAAACAGGGCTGTCTCGTGGATAGTGGCCATCCAGATGTTGTCGAAATGATTTCTGCTCTAATGGAACTTCGCATAGAGGGCACGGTAATACATAACTGCTATTAATGTTGGAGGTATTGTCTTCATCATCTAAGCCGGATATTGGAGTTAAAGGTATATCTGACATGACAACGTCGTCCCTTTTTGTTAAATTAGTATCCAAAATGCATTGGTGTATCATTGCCGTTTTTTCGAGACCATAAAGGTATTCATATATAGGTAGCTGTTTTACAAAGCGATTTTGACACTGATGTTGCTCGTGTTTATAGAGTCGCTCATTGTGCTCAGTTTGACTACTTTGATGTTCTTCCTTAATTATCATATTTTGATATATCGTTGGTTTGTTCTTTAGTCGTGCAGTTTTTACCATTAACGACAAAGCTGTAGATTGCGCCACGTAACTATCTATTGACAAATTATTATGAGCAATGGAACTGCAGCTAAGACCGTTTTCCTTTTGAGGTAGTTCTTCATACTTCGCGTTCCACAAATTGTTGCAAAGAATTGCTGAGTAGTGCTGTGAAGTTTTAGGGCTAACCGCTTTATCGCTTAAGTTGGTCGATATTTTTTCGGGGTATTCTGTTGTATGAAAGTTTTACACTTTTTTAATAATGAATTTTTTAGTGTTGTGTTTAGGACAAATAAATTAAGATTTATGGATGATTAAACTAAAAAACGTAAGAAAATCGTTTCACCTACATGGTCCGTGAGGATTTTTTATTAATGTAATTTTTATAGTTTGTTTAAAACAAATAAATTGGGCTTTATGAATGATTGAATTAAAAGAACGGTATTCAAACCGTTTAATCTAATGAGTCGTGGGGTTAGGATGTTTTTGGATATACTGACGTAATACAATTTCGAAGTGCTAGAGTCAACCACATATACAGGTATTCCAGTAAGTATTCACTAATTTATGAATATATGTAATTCAATCAATTTGTAAATACATATATTAGAGTTGCTATAGCAACTATAAAATAAAATAAAACTGTAGCAACTATAAAATAAAATAAAATTTATAAAATACGAAAATCTAGTTTTTGTATGGGATATCCCCTAATTTGGTTATATCGAGCCCTAACCGCCAAAAGGGCGTAAGCGACAAAATGTTCGATTTTCTGTTTTTGACAGACATCGATTACTTACCACCATACGCACCTTCCTACGAAGTACCATTGCAAAGTTATAGCGAAAGCAATTTTGGCTTAAAAGCTTAATTGTTGTTTAAATTTTTTTTTTACCCGCAATTAGTGCGTTCAAGCACATCTACGATTTGGAGGTTTTGCAGGATTTGGTCCAAAGTCGTTCATGTACCGTACGCGTTGCCAGAAGAGGGAGTTTTTCCCGTTTTGGGTGAATTTTGAACAAAAAAGGGATGGCGGGAATAATGGTCGTGAAAACAGGGAAAACCACATACGCCGTGCCCATAAATATTATAATAACACTATTAGGCTAAAATAGGGTGCAATACAATCTTGGGAAGGATGTATGGAATTTAAAGTTTAGTTACGCGAAGAATCTCGCCCTTCAGCATCCACCTCCAATCAAACTGGAGCGTATTGCACAATATGTGCAGTAAGCTTTCCTCCTAATAAATCTTAATAACAAAAACGCAAGAGCATGTGCAAAAATATAAGCCAATTCACGATAACTAATCGCCAGCTGAAAATTTCGCAGTTCACTAATGGTTCGGTAGCACATCAAGCTAAAAATGCGGCGGAGCACAATATTGCATTTTCTGCATTTGATCACTTATCAGTGCTGTAGAAAACAGTATTCAGCGATTCCAAAATTGCATCACAATTGCACACGAGTGTACAAATACCGCATAAGTACTCGTAGATGCAACAAGAATTAACAAGGCGCAGTGCGTAGGCAACTGGCTGAGTCAGTGGGATCGTAGGTTCGAATCCTACTGAAAGAAGTCTGATGAGGAAATGTGGTGATTTCCGAAAAAGCTATCACTTCTACCATATTTTAAAATTATTGTTGCTTTTCCACAATAAGTTTTCATTAAAAAACGGCCTCAAGCTCAATAAAAATTTTTGAATATAACTGTTATAAGGCCATAAAATAACAAAAACAAATAACTAAAGGACGAGCACACCTAAAAGTTAAACATTCTAATAATAGAACATATTAAGAAAAACCAACAAAACCAACAACCACACGATCAAGTGAATTTCAGCGGAATAGCTGCGCTTGATTGTAGTTAACTTAACAAGAGAAATAGTGGAAATAAGCAACAAGAATTAACAAGGCGAACNCATATTAAGAAAAACCAACAAAACCAACAACCACACGATCAAGTGAATTTCAGCGGAATAGCTGCGCTTGATTGTAGTTAACTTAACAAGAGAAATAGTGGAAATAAGCAACAAGAATTAACAAGGCGAACTTAGCACAGTGCGTAGGCAACTGGCTGAGTCAGTGGGATCGTCGGTTCGAATCCTACTGAAAGAAGTCTGATGAGGAGATGTGGTGATTTCCAAAATAGCTATCACTTCTACAATTTTTTCAAATTATTGTTGCTTTTCTATAATAAGTTTTCATTAAAAAACGGCCTCAAGCTCAATAAAACTTGTTGAATATAATTGTTATAAGGCCATAAAATAACAAAAACAAGTAATCTTTTTATATTAATAATATTACATGTAAATTGAATTTTTATAAATATTTACTTAGTTGTTAAAATACGGTTATTGATCGTATAAAAAATAAGACACGGAGAAAATTTGATTTATAATAATAATAGATTGGCTCTTACACATATGTTAGTGTGTGGCCGGGCTTCTCCTCCTATTTGTGGCGTGCACCTTGATGTTGTCAGACAAATGGTAGTGACCTACAGTTTCAGGCCGACTCCGAACGGCGATTGTATTTTTATTAGAAGCAGTTTTGCATGGCTCAGAGGTTTGCCATTGCCTGCCGATGGGCGACACTGCTAAGAAAAACCCCTTTTTTCTTTTTTTACGATGTTGCTTTGGCCAGGGCTTGAACCCAGGCCCTAAAGAGTGGAAGCGCCATTTTTAAAAACTGGGTTATATCAGAAGGGGGAAAAACGGGAAATCCTAAAATGAAAAACGGGAAAAATATATAGAATTGCATGGACAAAAAGGAAATAGGCCCGCCCAAAATCTGGCAACACTAATGACGTTTCTAGATTTAGTCCGGATTTTTTCTTCTGGCAAATTCATGAATTGTGCTAAACGATAGGCAGGGTTGCATTCGTAAACAAAACCAGAAAGAGGTGAAAACAGAACCTTGCATTTGTTAAAAAATTTAAGTAGCGAACGAAATTTTCGAATATGTACGCAATTACACTGGATCACAAATTTTAATTTTGATTTTGCTCTCGAGTTAATTTTTTGTTTTGTATGGATACGTTTTCGAGATATGTGCAATTTACAGTTATTCGGCTTAAAAAAAAGAGTGATTCCAATTAATCAGGTATATCTTACGAACCAATTAAACAATCGTAATACGAGGTACGGCAAATGATAGAAAATTAAATTCTCCATAAACCGTATATAGATTACTTTTCGATAGCCCTGATAGTTTCTGAGAAATTAATTAATCATTCCAGATTATTTTTTTTTTATGGAAAAATTCAAAATAATTAAACTTTAACAGAGAAAAAAGTCAAAAAAAATAGCAGTTTCTGTGTATATAATTTGCACTTGTGTTAAAGCCTGTTCCTTTAGAAAAAAACTAAGCTACCAATGAATAAAATCGATATATAAATAACAAAATAATGATTAGTCAAATGAAAATGCGCAAGGATTTTTTGTATGAAATATCAGCAGAAAAGAGTGTTACTCATACCCGACGTGCACCTGAGTAGGTAGAGGGTTTGCATCGAAAATAAGGGGTGCCAGCAGTGATTAACTAATTTCTCAGAAACTATCAGGGCTATCGAAAAGTGATGTATATATGGTTTATGGAGAATTTTATTTCCTTTCATTTCCCGTATCTTGTATTACGGGAATTCAATTAGTTCGTAAGATATACTTACTATAGTGAAACCACTATTATTTAAAGCTGAATAAATTGAAGTTGCAAATATCTCAAACCTTATCCATAGAAAAAAATCTCTATTTTCGGAATCACCGAGGAATTCTACATGAAAATTGGATAGTGGCATCCATAGAACATTTTTGCTGTAAACCAGCGTTATTATTATTTTTATAGGTTTTACTAAGAATAATAACACAAACGGCAATAACGCAAAATTTGCTTTATTTCACTTTTAAATTAAAAATAATACCAAAATCTGAGTTTTTCTTTATTTCCAACAAAGGTTGGAGATTTAACAAATTTTGCCTTATTTCCCGTTACTTATGTACATATTTAAGCTATTTGTAACAAAAGCAATTTACTGACAGAAGGAAAAAGAACTTTGGTAATTCCAAAAATACAATTAAACAAAGAATGTGATATAATTCATATGAAGAAAGTAATCCTCACAAAATATTTTTACTTATGAAAAGTCTAACAAAATATAGGGAAAACGTCGTCTTTAATAACTGCTCGGAAAATTGAACATAACGCTTTTCTATGAATTTTATCTGCATCCTTTTTTTTATATGTTGAAAACATTAGTCGATAACCTTAAAATGTTTGCATGAAACCATGGCGCAATAAACAGGTGAAGTGAGTAGTCCACTTGCAAACAGCGTTATTTGATTTTATGATAGAAAGCCATAAATTCGAAAAAACATCTACGACAACAAGTAACATTTAAATTGAATCTTTTTTATTATTACCTGAAAATTTGGATAAATAAGAGCCTTATAAAATTGTAACATAACATAATATGACATAAGATAACATTAACAGTCTATACGACCTAAAGCAGTTTTCTAAGTTCATCAGAAGATGTATACTTTTCAAAGTTTATAAACAAGTATGATAGCGACTTTTGGAAGAAGAGTTAACAGTTGATGCTATTTTTTTCAGAATATAAAAAGATTTTGCTCTGTGTTGTTAGTAGACATGAAACTACTCTAAATACTGGTACGTAATCCTCCAAAAAACTAAAAATCGAAAAAATTTTACAAGTGGACTACTTAAGTAATAAAACAGCTTTCTCGCTTTTTTTTCTGACATTCGGCTGCCTTACAGTAAATTTTTAACGGCAATTTTTCAAATAAGGCAGTGAAAATCTTTTTTCTTTCTCTAATTACTTCAAGGAGTAATTCCGCCATAGACATGGAACAAACCAAATTTGCCGTTCCTGTTCGCAGCATATAACACAGAGAAGAGAATATTGTTTTGAGTTTTAAATTCAGTTAAAATTTCTGCATTATCACCACTGGCTTCACTATATACGAACTGTGGATTTCGTTTACGAGGACGAAGCGCTCATGTAGTACGAAATAGTTATGTAAAAATATGTAAAATTTTACCTACTCTCAGACTTCTAAATTTGAACGTATACTCGGTGCAAGCAGGTGGGATTATTTGGTTGCCTTATAGTCACATTTTATAGGCAAATTTTCATATAAGCAGTGCCAAAATCTTCTTACTCTAATACACCTTCACCTGGTATAATTCCAACATGGGTGGACATACTT